ACTGTTGAGTCCGCTGAATGCGCCCATTGCGATGCGACTAATGTAGAACCAGCTTTAAATGTTATGCATGTATTAACCTTAAAAAATATCAGAAAATATCGAAACGGTTAGGTCATATCTCTACCACGACATCCTTAATTATCATTTTGGTATTATATTCACGAGTACACACACACATTTTGTAATTTTCTAAATCAGAGTGAACAGGTCTACATATTTATCTTTACGCAGTTCTGATCTTGGCGTGTGACGGATAAATCGTTTGGCTGTTTTTGATCTAATGGGTAAGCCGAGAGATGTAAGTACGGAAGAGGAGATAAATTTAGGTAATTCTATATATTCAATGTATTTACACTAATTTTGTACGTTTATGTAACAATGTTATACAATAATGTATAACATAATAATTTACGTTGGGATTCATAATGTTAATCGAATTTTGTTAGATACAAATGATGTCTCGCCGCAGAAAAGACATAAGAAACATAAACATAAAAAGCACAAGAAAAAAAAGCTCATGCACGATGACAGCGATACCTTTGTAGAAATCTCAACCGATGCTGACCGGAAGAAAAGCTTTCGAATAAAAATGAAAAAAGAAGATGAACGGAAGTATGTGTATTATACAGTGTTTATTTTGTTATATCTTTTTTTTGTGCATTATATTACAGAAAGCTAAAGGAATTAATCATACAAAATTACATCCTTTAGCTAATTTTGGTTTAAGAGTTTCAATTTCAAAATTAATTATAAAAATGTGTCGTATCAAGTTTGAATAAGTAATGGCCTTTATCAATATCTTTTTTGCTGAGAAAAAAAAGGATTTTCATTAATTCGCTTGTAGCAATACATCAAATTTAATTTCAAGAATCTTTCTGTAAATTATATATACACACATGATATGCACAAGTGCAATAATTTATATTATTTTCTAGTTTGGATAAACGTGAAAAAATATTAAAAACATGTGGTTTGAACACAGCTGCAATAAGTACTGCACCTTCTCCAAAAGCAGCTGCAAAAAAAAAAATTCCAAAAGGTAACAAAGGTAAAGATAGCGGGACTAGTAGCGAAGAAGAAAGATGGCTTGACGCTATTGAATCTGGTAAACTGGAAGAGGTATTTTTTTCTTCTTTTCTGTTTATAGTAATAAGGTAAAAACAATTGTATAACATTTACTATTTCCATATCTTTACATCTGTGTGTGACCAAGCTTAATGATAACTCTAATAAGATAATGAGAGAGAGAGAGAGAAATTTGTGTTTTTATTTTAGGTAGATGATGAATTGAAAAAAATTAAGCCAAAAGATCCCAAGTTAATGACAGCACGACAAAGAGCAATGTTCGAAAGAAAGACTGATACAGAACCAAATCCAGGTGTCGAACAACTCATGTCGTTACCTACTGGTTACAAAGAAAAAGTCATGACTGCCGAAGCTATACAGAAGGCTGCTCTAAAGTCTCTGAAACGGAAACAACTTGCTGATGAAAAGAGAGAAAAGGATAAGGTAGTGAATAACAGAAAGTTTTCTCTGATGACAAACAACATTATATTTAATAATGAGTAAATTGTATGAAATGAAAACCTTTTTGAATTATTTTTATAGAAAAAGACAATGGAAAGGTTGCTTAAGAAACAAGAATCTAAAGCATCCAAAGTTATTAGTAAGGGAAGATTATCTAGACGACAAGTACCATTTGTGACGTATCGCTTAACGATCGAAGGAAGTTCTATATCTTTACCTCCCGGTGAAAATTTTCCACTTTCTTCTGCCAAAGAGTATGACAGAATTATTACTATTATCATTTTCTATACTGACATATTTAGGACGTAACATTTGTGTATCCTTAATTCAATATTTTAGGAAAAATCCACCAAAACAAATCCTTTGCGGAGTAAAGCAATGTAAAAATCCCAAAAGATATTCATGTTCGAAAACCGGAATACCATTGTGCAGTTTAAAGTGTTACAAAGCCAATCTCCTCGTAACTAGGTGAATTAGATGTACAAATAACAAACTTTTTTCCAGAAATTCTAAAATTTGGTCTATTACACGTGTGTGTGTGTGTGTGTGTGTGTATATATATCAGCACATACTCAGGATGCCTTCCATAAGCGACTCAATACAATGATCTTTGTTTAACATTGCGAACAACAAAGATGTAATGATGCACTATGTCACACCGTGTCATGTGTATCTCTTCTTGGAAGGCACCCATACATACACCTGTATATGAGGACATACATACCTGTATGCAGCTTACACAAAATAATTAATATAAGTCATAAAAGTATTAATTAAATATAACGTATATATGTATTATAAAAATTTATATATGTGAATGCTCATACAAACCTATTTAGCTACTTATATTAATCATCAACTTTTTTATTTTTTATGAAAAAAGAAACAGAAAAGAACATAATCTCTTTCTCCTCTTTCTATTACCAAAAGTACTAACGATATTTATTAAATGATGTAAATGTAAAATGATAAAGCTGTTTATACAAATTCGTTATATGTATAACGAATGCATCTGTGAAAAGAGAAGCAAGACGCAATCTTCTCCGAATTGTACTACTTTGTAGCGTAGGTCTTGCTTTCACTCACTTCCCCAAGTAGGAAGCCATTCGCGAAGCGTTCACTCGCCGAGTTGGTCGTCGACTTAGATTCATGCAGGATCGCTCAAACTTATGTACGTGTACGTGCTCGATCTCAACCCAGATATTCTGGGCCACCATGTTGTGCCTTCGTTATTGCATCGTTTTAACGTTTGTTTTTTCTTCAATTTCGACTTTATGTCTTGAAACATTTGGTGAGTGGAATCCTTTACTGTCAATAAATATTTATTCCCTGATTTTGTTCTACAAAAGCAGCTTATATCTCGTCTTGAAGAGAAACATAAAAAATTTCCTGGTTTATGTGTCACTGCTCTCTTATGCAAGATTGCGTGTTTTTAGCTTAATAAAATTAACATAGTGATCATTAACGATGCATATCGATCAGTTGTAATTAATGATATTTTTATATAATTATGCAATATAAAAATGTACAATATTTCATTTATGAAAATTAAACACAGTTTTTTCATTTCTCATTAAAAGAAAAAATAGATAATTATCACGAATGTGTGCGTCCTTGCTCCGACAAATCATCTTTGAAAAGAACATGCGTCTATCATTTCTTTATCACGGAATCGCACGGCACAACAAGGTGAGACAACATTATAAAAGTTTATCTTTTATAAAATAATATCGATTGATTTGTAAATTAGCAGATATATTACCGCTGTAACGTATTTGCGGTGAGAAAAGGATTGTAAGCTAAAAAAAACTTAGA